CTGTCATATATGTAATCTGTCATTGAAATGTTGTTATGCAGTACATGTCTATAGCTAGAGTTCTCTAAGGAACATTGGACTAAATGCTTTTCTTTTCTCCTTTTTAATATTAAAATCAAGATTTTGAAATTAAGCTTTGCAAATTGATATCCATATATTGATAACCATATATTCTTACTCAGCTAAACAAATTATTTTCATTTGACAAATTGGAACAAGTGAATAAAATTTGAGGTTGTTAGCTTGCAATTACATTGATTTTTATTTTCTTTCTTTGGTATTCTTCAAAGTGACAATGCTTAGATAAATGTCACTTCATCAACAACAGTTTTGCAACAGAGAGATTGCAGCAGAGAGAGAAACTGAAAAAAATGTGTGAAAAGCCCTCTCAGAGGAGCCGATGAAAGGCTTTGCAGACTCTTAGGGATGGTTAGCCATCACACTTGCCTCTAAGTCCCCAAGAGCTTGTGTAGTGCTTGAGTTCAGCTGGGGGAAAACATGGAGGTGAAGGGTGGGTTATATATGATGCAGGAAAGATAGAAGGAGATGACAATCAGTCAAACACAAGCTGTTTCTTCTGACAGATGTATAGTAGGCTAGAGAATAAATAATGAAATGACAGTGATTAAAATGTGTTTACTTAAGTGAACAATGGCTTGAAATATGGTTACGTGGTAAAGACCTCATTATAGACCATACTTGGCACATAAATATGATACTTATGTTGAGGGGTAATTAATTTGCTCTTTCAGGTGAAGTGATGGGTCACCTGTGGCCCTGCCTCTCTTCCATTCATTGGACAAGCTAAATCCTGAAACAGATATTCTCTCATAGCATTTAAAAATCTACCAAGCCAGACACTCATTTTAGAAGCCATTAGGTAGTTGTAATTTGGAGTGTATAAGCAGAAAGCCTACATGTAAGGACAGATGACAGAGTGAGGAGTTACAGACAGAATGTGCCTTTGGGTGTTACTGAAGCAAAATGCCTTACTGCACATTTTCTATCTTCTATTTCTGACAGTTAGTCTTCAAAGGGACCATTACCTAAAACCTCCTGTAAATATCATGCAGGGTAGTAAGTCTCAAACTTTAGCATGCATCAGAGTTACCTGGAGGACTTATTAAATCACAGGCAGGTAAGCTCTTGCTCCAGAGTTTCTAATATAACAAGTCTGGGATAAGACCTCAGAATACGCATTTCTAAGACACTCCCAAGTGATGCCGAGGGACCATACTTCGTGAACCACCTATATGGAAAACCAATTCGAGAATGCACATGCATTACTGAGTTGAGTGCCTGTAATAAGGAAGGTACCATTCCAGTCCAATAGCAATTAGGATAATTCTCAGGAACTTACAGCCAGCCAACACCAGGCTGTCCCAAAGTATACAGGGTGGTGCTGGAGGGATAGACAGGCTTCATGTTCAAAGAAATGTGGGCTCCAGGAATGGATGTCTGATTTGCATCCTGCCTTCTCCACTGTGCTGACTTTGTGAGCCCTCAGTACCACAGCCTCCTTGTCTGTCAAATACAGATGACATTAGTCCCTAGCCATGGAGTTGTTGGGACAATTCCATGAGATGCTGCATGGAAACTTGGAGCATAAGAGCTGGCATGTACAGAGAGCTGTGTGATTACCTGAAGACTTCAGTAACACAAAAAGGGAAGTAGTAATATATGAATGCATATATATATATATATATATATATGAGAGATTTAAAAATATTTTCTGTCTTCCCAGATCTGGATGTTAGGGTTATGGCTTGTGTGGTGATTTTGTTTTGTTTTGTTTTGTTTTGTTTTGAGATTGGGTCTCTCTGTCACCCAGGCTGGAGTGCAGTGGCGTGATCGCTGCTCACTCCACCTCCTGGGCTCATGATCCTGTCACCTCAATTTCCTGAGCAGCTGGGTCTACAGGCATGCGCCCGCCAGGCCCTGCTAATTTTTGCATTTTTTTGTAGAGACAGGATTTTGCCATGTTGCCCAGGCTGGTTTCATATTTCTAAACTGGAGCAATCTGCCTGCCTCAGCTTCCCAAAGTGCTGGGATTATAGGCATAAGCTACCATGCCCGGCCAGGGCTTTTTAACTCAAGAGACTTGCCTTTTGCAGAAGGCTATCTGAAGTACAGTTGAGGTGAGTTATTCATCATATCAATACCATCATATCAATACCAGGCACGGTGGCTTACGCCTGTAGTCCCAACACTTCGGGAGGTTGAGGAGGGCGGATCACCTGAGGTCAGGAGTTCCAGACCAGCCTGGCCAACATGGTGAAACCCCATCTCTACTAAAAATACAAAAAAAACATTAGCTGGGTGTAGTGGCAGGCGCCTGTAATCCCAGTTACTTGGGAGGCTGAGGGAGGAGAATTGCTTGAACTCTGAAGGCGAAGGTTGCAGTGAGCTGAGATCGCACCATTGCACTCTAGCTTGGGCAAGAAGAGTGAAACTCCACCTCAAAAATAATAGCAACTAGGATTTCCTTAGGCAAAGGAGGAGAAAGAGAAATATTGCCAAGAAGGGACTTTCAACAGCAGACCAGATTAGAATTCCAGCTTCAATCCTAATAGTCTGTGGGATTGTGGACCACCAGTTGTTTGTCTGCTCTGAGCCTTCACTGTGTTGATGCTGTAATGGAGATAGTTCTGCTTTAAAGATCAGTTCATGCATATCAAGTGGTCAGCAACTGCCACATACTGCCTGGAACACACACACAGTAGGCCCTTTGCAAATGAGAGTGTAGGTTGCTTGCTTTGTTAGATACTGCTCTTATTGCAGGTAGAGTACTGGGATTAGACTAGTGGTTTTGAGCCATGTGTGCTATGAGTATAGCAGCACATAGAACAGAAGAAATTGCTTAGAGAAGAAGTCAGAAGTGGAGTGTGAGGTCATACCAGCATGCAGACAGATTGCTGTTTACCAGAACATGCCCCAACTTTGTCCTCTGGGTATATATGAGAGTATCAGGGCAGTCAGAGGTTTCTATTGAAACAATGACAGAGTATAGGAAGAGGGACAAATGAATGGTGTAATAACCATAGATGCTTTTATAGATACTGTGAGGTGAGGCTGCACTTCAATAGTCATTGCCTTGTCATTATTGCTGAATTGTTTCATGTTGTTCTAAGTCCTTGAATCCCTCAAATGTGCTGCCAGAAAGATAATTCCTCAAAAAATGTGCAGCTCACAGATGATGGTTGCAGCTCACAGGATCTCAGGCTTAAGATCCTCACTATACAGTTGTAGTCGGTGGGTGGGAGGAGGAGTGACAAGACAGAGAAGGAGGGAATTTTTCAGTGACACAAGAGACCAGTGAGTAGACTATGGAACCATACTTCCGGGGCTCAAATCTTGAAGAAATCTTTATTCTTCCACGTGGTTGCTGTGTGGCTCTGTTATTTACTTGCCCTATGCTTCAATTTCCTCTAACATAACCTGTGGATCAGTTACCATGTATATGGCACTCAGAGAAGCACCTGCTACATGAAGTCATCACGAAAGAGTTAGTTATTTCTATTATTTCACCTAGGAAAGATATTCCCAACTTTTGACATATATTCCCCAGGGCAGGGTTAATCTCTTAGAGTAATACTCTAAATTCTTATATGACCAGGCACGGTAGCTCACACCTGTCATTCCAGCATTTGGGGAGACTGAGGCAAGAGAATCCCTTGAGTTCATGAGTTCAAAACCACTCTAGGCAATGTAGTTTAGCAGAAACACTATCTATGTGAGTTTTTGACATAAGCATTTTCTGGAAGTGTCTTAGCACTGAAAAGATGGTCAGATTTTGCTTTTTTTAAATAATTATTATGTCTTTTTTGACAGTGAGAACTTGACTCAACAATATTTAAATGCTGGTGATGGGTTAAAAGTTTTACTATTGTTTAGAGAGACTGGATGAATAAGGATTAAACAAATACCAGAAGACCCTAGGTTGAAAAATACTATTTTTATAATAGATGTGTGCCCTGACTCTCTAAATGGTTACCATGCCTGGCCTATTTATTCTTTCATGTCTCCCACACGAATCTGCATTCTCCCTGCAAGCAGGGACCGTGCTTTCTCTACCAAAAAAGAATTTAGCTGGGTATGGAGGTGCACACCTGCATTCGCAGCTACTCAGATGGCTGAGGCAGGAGGATCCGTTGAGCCTGGGAGGTCATGGCTGCAGCGAGCCATGGTCGTGTCATTGCACTCTATCTAGACTGGGTGACAAAGCAAGACCCTGGTTCAGCTTTAAAAAATTGTATTATATGAATGTTTAACTCAGAATTATAGTATTCATACTCTAAGGATAACTAACATATAAAATGATTTATATGATTGTTCAAAGTTGCTATTTCCTTTCTCTTAATTCTTTTATTTTGCACCTTTATGTCTAATTAGTAGTAACAAGTGCTGTGAAATAAAGTTTTCACAAAACGCTGCTTTTGATTTCCTGCACTTTATGTATATTTATATGCTTAAGAGTTGTATATACAAAGCCATATATACTGCATTTTGTGGGTGATGTAAGGCATATTTAAAAGTTTTTGAGTACTTGAGAACTTAATCCACAGTGGAAGCTTCCCCACAATAGACCATTGACTGATGGTCATAACATTTACTGCTGCCTTGTATTTAATCTGGTGGAATAGATATTATTATTTCAGTTGCATCTTAAGTTGTTGAATCTAGTAGATTTCAGAGTGAGACCCCAGGCATAGGCAAGGTGACGGGCATACAGAAAATGCTATTTTGCACGCATTTTTTTCTTTTCAGTTGCAACAAAAGTCTGTTGTGTTAGCAATGTATCTCTTCATTTTTCTTTGCTGTAATAATAGTTTTTTTTTTTGCTTAGAAGGCCATGCCCACCTATTACTGTGCAATTAGAACATCTCTAAGTCTTAATTCCTATGGCACTAAAATAGGAGAAATCACTTCATTGATCTGGAACAAGAAATGAAATATATGTAAAATGGCTGGTACACGGTACACAATAAATAGTCATTCTCTTCCTCCAAACTTTAATATATCATTTACTCTATAAAGTATTATCCAATTATCTTTTGTTCAAATATCTTAAAAATTTGTATAGTAGAATGGTATGATTTCACATTTAACCAACAGCTTAAATAAAGAACCAGGACCTTTTTTAGATCTAAAAAACAGTTTTGCCACAGTTCTTCCAATGTTTTTATTGGATTTAAAATTCATTTAAGGGATATACAGATATACAACTAGTTTGATCAGCTACTAATATATTTTGGTGTCCCTTTATGTTTGTACCCAAGAGCCAGTTCACTTTTTCTCCATGTTCAATATTTAGCTTTGGTAAAATTTTGCCATGTTCTTCCTCATCTGTTACTGAAGCATTAGTATTTCCACCCTGCTTGGTGCAAGCTCCTTTTTTAGGTTTCTTCCTGTGGGTACGTTTTGTAGGACTCTTCTGTTTTTTCTCAATTTCACTGCTTGCATCCCACAACATTATCTTCCCATCATTCCCTCCAGTAAGCAGCAAATAGGATTCTGGCAGAAAGCAGACCTGGGAAACCCCTAAAGTGTGGCCCTTAAATCCCAGTTCCTGTTCACACTTAACTCCCATCACCCGAAATATTCGAACCTTACCATCTTCTGCACCACAACTAAAAATATTACCACACGATGCCACAGAGATCGAGTGGGCTAGAGCAGGGTTTAAGAGCTGCCCAGGTGATTGCGGGCCTTCCACTTCTTCTGTTTCATCCTCCTGTAAATTTGTAATCCAGAGAGGTCGGGCTTTTTGAAGACTCCACAGCATCACCTTTACATGAGAAGAAATTACACGATCATACAAAATGCTCGCCAATTTGCTCAACTATCATGCTTATTCAGCTTCTAATAAACTAACATAGTCTGAGAATAAGCAGTATGATACATTCCCAGCAGTATTAAAAAAAAAAAAACCAGATGCTACCATAACATGCCAGTGGAATGCTACCCTGGGACTAAAACTAGAGTGCAGTAAGGTAGACTTTACAAATCAAGATCCTGAATAACCATTTTTGTTGTTGTTTTTGAGATAGTCTCGCTGTTGCCCAGGCTGGAGTGCAGTGGCGCAATCTCACTGTAATCTCCGCCTCCTGGGTTCAAGTGATTCTCCTGCCTTAGCCTCCCGAGTAGCTGTGATTGCAAGTACATGTCACCATGCCCGGCTAAGTTTCTGCATTTTTTTTTTTTTTTTAGTAGAGATGGGGTTTCACCATGTTAGCCAGAATGTTCTTGATCTCCTGACCTCATGATCTGCCCACCTCGGCCTCCCAAAGTGCTGGGATTACAGACGTGAGCCACCATGCCTGGCTGATCCTGAATAATTTTTTATTAATAAACCCCATTAAAGTGTAATTGTTAAGCAGCTGCCAGTTTCTAAAGGTTTTTCTGCTCTCATCTCTTCAAGTAAAACCAAAGATAATGAAATTTGCTAGTTTTAATCTATGCTGATTATAGGTAACAAGATCTATCGACTAAACAAACTCAATCTGGAATATCACTGATATAATTTCTATCTGGAATGCCTTTCCTTTCCCATTACCCAATTACCTAAGGGCTTACGTTCAGTCCTGGTGCCTCCAAGAAGCTTTCCTATTTCAGCCCACTTCTCTTTCCTGTATTTAGTTTCTATTCTATTAATTGACATGTTCTACTAGTTTATCAGTTTCTTGAGACTTAAATCAGTCTTTGCTAATGCCTAGCATAATGCACACGAGAGAGCAGAAATTCCAAATGTGTCTGTTGATTAATATGACATCCTGGTATTATATTTGGCTTTTCGTTGTTGTTCCTGACTTTTTTTTTTTTTAATAGTTTTGTGAATGGGTTTCACATTATAATCTAGTGATTCATTCCTTTCCTGTATCAACCATTTTGCAAAGAAAAATATTCTTAATACTTTCAAAGAGAACAGATAGCTTTCTTTTACCATATAGTTTACCATCATCCCTGAATTATGACTCATAATTTTAACCGACACTGGAAATAGTATGATCTTGTTTAGACAGTGAAAAGCATAGATCTGAATTGGCAAGGTTGCCATTGCTGACGCTATTAAGAATTTGGTTTTCTGGCCGGGCGCGGTGGCTCAAGCCTGTAATCCCAGCACTTTGGGAGGCCGAGGCGGGTGGATCACGAGGTCAAGAGATCGAGACCATCCTGGTCAACATGGTGAAACACCGTCCTTACTAAAAATACAAAAAATTAGCTGGGCATGGTGGTGCGTGCCTGTAATCCCAGCTACTCAGGAGGCTGAGGCAGGAGAATTGCCTGAACCCAGGAGGCAGAGGTNTTTTTTTTTGCTAGCACAAAAATACCTCCTAGCTTTGTTCATCTCTCACATAGATAGTGTTTCTGTGAAATCTTTGTAGTGTATCTATTGAAGGGATACTATGATTCAACACAGTGGTTTTTGGTTTTGTTTTGTTTTGTTTTGTTTTTGAAAAGATTTTGTAATTATTTTCTGTAGTGATTCACATTGGGGCTGGCCGTTGGCAGTTTTTATGTGAGTGAAAGCCTGCCTTATTCTTGCACGTATTGTGTATGTCCATTACTGACCAATCCGTAGTCATAAAGTGACAAAGCAAGAATGACTAATAAACTATCAGGGGTTGACTACTGTGTTTGCTTTTGCTTTCCTGGAGTGTGTGTGAGAGAAAGAAAAATGTATGACTACCACCTTGCTTAGGGCAAAAGGTATCAGACCTTCAAAATTATAACTGGATTCTCTCAAAGGCAAAGAATATCATTAATACTTAGACTATCTTAATGCCGGTTAATTCTACTTTATATCATCATCTCTGTTGTGAAATTTAAGATATTATAGAAGTCATTATTAGACTAGTAATAATCCTTATTAAAAAAGATTATCTCCAAAATTTTAAGCCGATTTTTGACATAAGCGTTTTCCGGAAGTGTCTTAGCACTGTAAAAGATGGTCACGTTTTGCTTTTTTTGTACTTAATATGTCTTTTTTGACAGTAAGAACTTGACCCAACAGTATTTAAATGCTGATGATGGGTTAAAAGTTTTACTGTTGTTTAGAGAGACTGGATGAATAAGGGTTAAACAAATACCAAAACAGCTTAGGTTGAAAAATACTATTTTTGTAATACATGTACATCCTGACTCTCTAAATGGTCACATGGACTTGATTAAGCTTGACATCTGTGAAAGACAAAAGGATTTTTTTTTTTAAGTAGCTCATGTACATAGAAGTCCCGGAATAATCATCTAAATGGTAGTGATCATATGCAGCTTCAGGGCCTGGTTTTTTAACCTTGGCGCTCTTGACATTTTGGACTGGACAATTCTTTGTTGCAGCAAGTTTTCTAGAGCATTGAAGTATATTTAGGAAGATCCCTGTTCTGTACCTACTAGATGCCAGGAGCACTTTCACCTCCAATTATGAGAACCAAAAATATCAGACATTGCTAAGCATTTCTGGGTGGGGGTTGGGGTAGAAAAACTGACCCTTGTTAATCACCCCTAGAGATTTGGAAATATCTAACTAAAGTTTCCAGTGATTTTAAAAAAATATTATCATCACCATGACTAGCAAATTATTAAGTCCATTATAAAATGAGATCTCACCCAGTGGTCACAGATGAAATAAACCGTGTTACTTTGACCTCATCACAGCTCTAGGAAGTCACTGGCAAGTAAGCACAAAAGAGACTCCCAGTCCCTACATACTTTTCGGTCAGTGAACATTTCCGTCACTCTGTTTTCAATGCCAATTCATTTTAGTAATGTAACTTAGATGGTTTAGAATTACAGCAGATAATGGCTAACCTACCTACTAAGTAGAGTTCATGTCTTCCTGGTGAATGGAAATGCAAAAGTCTGACAATAGATGCTGTGTACTGCTGAATTTGATTTGACAATAATCATGACATCAGCAGAGGTCTCTGCAAGGTAAAGGTGGTAAAGCAGGAGATGGAGGCAGTGTTTGGGGAAAACGATTGCTAATGATAACTAGAGGCCTGACATCTCGTTTTCTATGTAATTCCAAATGCATGTTGTGCTTGTCATTTAGAAATTCAGACTGGACCAGATGCTGAATTTGATAGGTTGAATTACAGTCCTGTTTGATTTATGACAGCCCTATTGGAGTCACCGTATCCAAAAACAATTTCTAAGTAGGGGCAAAAAACTTCTGATTAGATTATTCTGTTCTATCAGGGGACAATATGGACTCAAGATTGGAGTTTTATCAGTGGCCTAGTTGTTTACTTGACAAAATAAAAAGTGATTTTTCAGAGTATAAGTTTCACATGTAGGTAAAACGGACTTTTAAAAAAAAGTTATCAGTGTTACTTGTATTACCAATGTGTAGAATATTTTCCAGTTTAATGAATAAGAAGATTGGTTTGTTTCAGATGAGACCTAGATTGTGATTAAGGATAGTATTCAGGACTTTATTTAACTCTAGGTGCCTGAAGAAAAACACTTCTCTCATGGCTTATTTTGAAACGGCACGTGGAAAGACGTGTAACTTACGAGACGTGGCACTCTTGTTGAGTTTTTAGTATTTTGTAGTTTTATACTAATGGTAATGGGAGTTCTTAGGAACTTTGTTTTGTATATGCGGGCGCCACTCCTCAATTCTAGGTCCATAAGACATGGCTGTTCCAATCACTGTACTTGTTTTCTATTCCAGGATGCCAATTAAAATTAATTATGTATTCATGCAAGCCACAATCCATTGGCTGGTCTTGATGTAAACCCTGGTCAAGACGATAAGCTAGAAAATGATACTCTAGGCTAACATTGTCCATTGAAACTGTATTTGTGCTGGTATAGTAGTGATTAAGCCATGTGTGGCTACTGAACACTTGAGATGTGACCAAGGAATAGAATTTGTAATTTATCTAATTTTAATTTTAATACAAATACGTATTTGTGCTTACCACCTCCCGTATTGGACAGCACAGCACTAGGCCTTTGAGACACATTTTTTGAGACACATTTTTGGATTTAGGATTGTTTACTATGGGTGTTCTGAACAGACCATACCCAGAGTTACAGAGGCATTATCACTGTATTAAGCCACGTAGAGGATAGAAAAAAAAAGAAAGAGTAGTGATTGTATATGCCAGTGATAATACAAACAATACAGGTAGGACAGTCTCATTTACAGAAGCTTAATATCAAATATATCCATCTCTACTTTTTAAGGTGAGAATGGGAGTCAACGCAGATAAATACTTTTAAATCTGTTCTCTTTCCTGTTCTTAGAAATATTATGTAGAACAGCTTATGTGAGGTTTTCTTGTTGCTATTTTTTGTCCGATGCTCTTTTTGTTTGGAGATTTTGTTGGTGGTGGTGGTGGTGGTGGTGGTTTTGAGATGGAGTTTTGCTCTTGTTGCCCAGGCTGGAGTGCAGTGGCACAGGCTCGACTCACTGCAACCTCCACCTCTCAGGTTCAAGTAGTTCTCTCACCTCAGCCTCCCAAGTAGCTGGGATTACAGACAGCCACCACCATGCCTGGCTAATTTTTGTATTTTTTAGAGATGGGGTTTCACCATGTTGGTTAGGCTGGTCTGGAACTCCTGACCTCAGGTGATCTGCTTGCCTCGGCCTCCCATAACGCTGGGATTACAGGTGTGAGCCCCTGCACCCAGCCTGTTTGTTATTTATGTTCCCTCCTAAGCAACATATTTCTGCTAAATTGGGGTGGCATCTTTGGAGCTAATCACAGGAATAGAATATGTGGGTAATATAAAATCATTTATATGTGACATGAAGCACCAAGGTCTTATTCATGAATTATCTGGTTATGTTAAAATCATGGACTTTTAAAGGTTACAAGGTCTTGGTCATTTCAGTAAGTACTAGGAACACTCTGTGTGTGGCTTTTTTGTTATGTGGTTGTCATCATGCCTGCATAGTGGAACGAGGCAGCCACTCAAGAAGATGTGCTTTTACTGGGGTTTAGAAATGCTTGCAAAGCTTCCAGTTGTTGAAACCAAGACATCAGACAGCTATTCACTGGTAGA